TAGTATAAGGTGCACTTAGACGATTCTCAATACAATATGCATGATTCATTTACATCCTTACAGATGTAAAATACTTCCCTTTAATTAGAACTACTCTACTATCTAAACAATTGGCACTTGCCGTATTTTGAAGGATATTCATCTATTATATTAAAAAAACTCACATTAACTTTTAATGGGAACTACAGTTTCTGTATTACTTAAGTTGAAAACCTATTTTTTAGAAGGAAAAAAAGATTTTACCTTTTCTGGTATTTAGAAAAGTAACAGAGTATTTTTTTTTTTTTTTCGTAACAGAGTATTTTTTTTTTTTCTTTTGAGATGGAATCTCACTCTCTCACCCAGGCTGGAGTGCAGTGGCACAGTCTCAGCTCACCGCAACCTCCGCCTCCTGCGTTCAAGTGATTCTCCTGCCTCAGTCTCCTGAGTAGCTGTAATTACAGGTGTGCACAAACACGCTATGATAATTTTTGTATATTTAGTAGAGACAGGATTTCAGCATGTTGGTCAGGCTGGTCTCGAACTACTGAGCTAAAGTGATCTGCCGTCCTCAGCCTCCCAAAGTTCTGGGATTACAGGTGCGAGTTGAATTGTGTTTTCCTTAATAAAGAGACCTGTGTGGCTTATTTTTCACAGATGGACATATTTATTTTAATCTGATTTTTGTGTGTTTTATTTGTGATCCCAAATGAAATTATTGTTTCTTTACTGCGAGATATCACTTATATTTTAAATTCTGGAGACACACATAGTATGCTAAATAGTAACTGCTGATGATAAAAAAAAAAAAGCACATTTGATAGTTGGACTCTCCTGTCAGCCACCATCTTATACTTATCAGATATCAAAGAAGACTGTTTTCAAATTTTGGCAAGAAAAAATTTGTAATTCACTTTCAGAAATGGAAAGGTGCATTTTTAGACATGCATACATTTATAAAAGAATGCTGAACAGTTTTGTTACTCATTTATATACCTATTGTAAGAGAAATACAGAAACAACAATACTAATTTTAAAAAGTAGTGGTGGCTCTCGCTTGTAATCCCAGCACTTTAGGAGGCCGAGGTGGGCAGATCATGAGGTCAGGAGTTGGAGATCAGCCTGGACAACATGGTAAAACCCTGTCACTACTAAAGATACAAAAAATTAGCCAGGCGTGGTGGTGCACACCTGTAATCCCAGCTACTCAGGAGGCTGAGGCAGGAGAGTTGCTTGACCCTGGGTATGGGAGGTTGCAATGAGCCGAGATGGTGCCATTGCACTCCAGCCTGGGTGACAGGGTGACAGGGTAAGACTCCATCTTAAAAAAAAAAAAAAAAAAGGAGAATGTTCCAGTACTGTCCAGATCTCAACCTGTTCCACAGAATACCTCCAAGTTTCCTGTTTCCTTTTTTTTTTTTTTTCCTTTGTGATTTTCTACTTGTGCTTAATGCCAGAGACAAAATCAATTATGAAAGCCTGGCACAACTTGTAATTTCTTATCCCTAATTTTTTGTTCACAATTTATTTTTTCTGCTTTGTGAAGCTTTATCTATTATCCATTAAAGCTGGGATGAAAGCCACCTTGTTGAAGATTAACCCAATTATATCTTTAAAAATGGTATGTTTTGATTTAAAATATTTGAAGAAACTTGGTATGAAATGTCTTCACCAATGCATAGCTTTGTGTTGTCACCATTTCTGCAAATGTCTTACTTTTCTGATGCCAAAAGACTAGCCAGACATTATGTCTTAGATACACTGTTGGTGGCAAACACTTAGTACCTTAGAAAAGAGAAAGAAGAGCCAGTTATATGTGAAGGAGTGTGTCTCTGTTATCAGTGATGCTGGTTGTAGAAACCTCAAATCCTAAGACATCAAAATAATTTCTAAGTTATCAAACAATGATTAACTATAATGCAGTGTAGTTTTCATAAACTCATTGTGGCATTCTTCAAAAGTTGGTAGTTCATATAATAAACACTAACAAGGTTACACCTATTAAAATGGACTTTTGTTTAAACCAAATTTGGTTAGAAAAATTGCTTTTTGTGAAAACTGTACGTTAAACATTTCATTGCAGTCTACCTCAACAAACACAGCAACAAGAGCCAAGCACCAAAGCATGCCGACAGTTCGATTCTAGACCAGAAGTTACTATATCAATGACAACTCCAAATCTAGGAAGGCAATTTGAGTTTCATGCATGATGGTCTGCTGGCTTCTATCACTCTAGTAATATGACTCAAATGTGTTTTTTTCAGCTGATATAAACTGACAAGCACTGAGCTCTCACTCTTTCATTAGAGTTGCGCCCAGGGGACAGAGGCTGGCTGGGCCAGCGGCGGTACAAGACGAGCGCTCAGGGTCCAGGTCGCCAGGAGGAGGAGGATGTGGCAGTTGGAGGGGACATGGCTGCCAAAACAAGCCTGCAGATGATGGTGGGAACAGCAATAGTAGTCATGTAAAAATCTTTTTACCGAAAAAGCTGCTTGAATGTCTGCCAAAATGTTCAGATTTACCAAAAGAGAAGCACCAGTTGGAACACTAACAAGGAAACTTGCACTTTATTTAATAACATTTGAGAAACACGAAGAATGTCTAACCACCTCCCCTAAGACAAAACCACAGAATGGCTCAACGATACTCTACTACAGGAAAAAAGTGAAGTACAGGAAAGACGGATATTGCTAGAAAAAGAGGCAAGATGGGAAAACGACCAGAGAGGACCACATAAAGCTCAAGATTCAGGGAGTGGAGGTAAACCGCAGAAAAGGTTTGCTTGGAGCACAAATGTCATTTGCAGGCTACAGTGGAGAATGGAGTTGCTTGGAGTCATGTGATACGAGTCCCCTCTGTCCAGAGCATTTTTGTTTGCCAAGACCCTGGTTTTTGCTTTTGTTTCGTTTTTCTACCTTCTTACCCTATAGTCACCATGCAAGTTTTCAGTGAAACCAGATTGAACTAAAGCAAAAAAAAAAAAAACCTTTTTTGTTGTTTTTGTTGTTTTTTTTGGTGAACAGAACAATAAACGCCTTTATTACGTGGGTGAAGACAGAAAACAAGGATTTATTTGCCTTTCTGAGCCTTGGTTTTCCTAAGATAGAACTCCAACTCTTTGCCCTCTAGCACATAGCCATCTGCTCAGCCACAATGTCCCCGCCGCCTTCAAGCGATGCACGCAAGCAGCTTTCCCTGCTGGAACTGCTCCTCCAGGAGACTGCAGATTTTGGCATTCTTTTTCCTTTTGTCATATTTCTTCTGGATTTTTTTTAGATCGTTTTTTGTTTAAAATCTCTTCTTTCTCAGGAGTCAGCTTGGCTCCCTTCTTGCTGCCCAGGGGCAGTGCATAGTGGGACTTGTACCACTGTTGGTACGGTGTGCTGTCGATGAACACGATGCAATTCTTCACCAAGGTTTTGGTACCGACCAGCTTGTTATTAGATGCATTACAGACAACAATCGATGGTCCTTGTTTTCCGGGTACAACACTCTGAGCCCCAGGAGAAATTCCCCATGTCCAGTCTCAGGGCACAGTCTTTCTTGTTACCACCCCACACATGGACTGTGTGGATGTGGCAGGGGGGCCAGTCTTGGTGTTGGCAGCCGGGCACCCCAACTCATACTTCTTTTTCTTGTGGTAGGGCTTTCTCTTGCCCCCAGGCTTGCCACACTTGTGCCAGTTGTCCCAGAGATCAGAGATGCCCATCACTGAGCTCTGGCTGGAAAGAGCTTTTTTTTTTTTAAAAAAACCATCAAACAAATAGAATTTATGCAGCAGAAGAGAGCTGTTGAACCTTGCCTGGAAGCTAATTAATGAGCTAATTAGGAGATAGGCTGTGTGGGGAAAGGAGCTGGCCTCTCAGCTCAGAACTCTGAGTTCTGAGGATGTCCAGAGTCACACTAGGACCAGGTGCTCTTCTCGAAGCAGGAGACAGATCCCTGAGGCCTGGCTGGAGAGGGGCACCCCTTGCCAAACTCCCCAGACTCTGTCTTGAAGGCCTGACCTTCCCAGAGAGTTGCCGTGAGGGGGCCCCTGCCAGCCTCCTGGGGTGCATGCTTGGCTCGCTGATTGTAGTGGGAAGGCAGGGGCAGGCATGTGCCCAGGCCTGGTCATGAGTATCGGAAACTCGGTGCCCAGGTGCCTGCCCTTGGCCTCTGGCTATAGGCAGTGCTCTCCCCTTCAGTGAGGCTCTGGGGAGCGGGAGGCCTTGGGAGTGGGAGCTCTCGGCACCTTTCAGAATGAGGCATCTGCTCAGAGGCTCTGGGCCACCATCTTCCCCGCCTTGGTACTTCAGGGTTCTGCAGGGGGTGGGCAGCCTCAGGCCACCAGGTAGACCTCCAGCAGGCCTCCCACAGAGTGTAGGCAGTAGAAGACCCCCAGAGGCAGGCTGAAGGTGACGATGGCAAACCACATCTGGTAGTCATAGAAATCCTTTCCTAGCCTGTTCTCAAACTCCTGGTGTATGCCAAATTTGGGCATCATCCACAGTGTGATATTGCAGAGAACCAGGAAGAGTGAGATCTCCTTGAGTGCCCACCACTTCCAGTTGAGGTGGCTGTAGAAGTGGATGTAGGCCAGCGAGTCCTGTGGCAGGCCCCGGCCCAGCTCCAGCAGGGAGCCCCTGTGGGGAGGCTTAGCCTCCTGCTTCTCTGCCAGGCCCTGAGGAACTACCTCCCAGAGTGGGTGCCGGTGCAGACCCTCGATGATGAAGAGGTTCTGGGCGTTGTGTTGCAGGATGAGCAGCAGCGAGTAGGCCAGGATGAGGTGGTTGAGATACTCATGTGGGTGCATGGCCACAATAGCCACCATGTAGAAGCAGGCAATGCCCATCTGGCCCAATGCAGCACCCATCAGCAGCACCACATGCAGGCTGCAGGTGGGGTTCTTTTTTTAGGGGGGGGTGAGGTAGAAAATTGGCTTTATTGACAAAGTTTATTGGTAACATAGGAAAGGATGACGGTGCCTCTGCCCCTCTGGTACCCCCACAACCCCCACAAAGGCTGAAAAGGCAGGCAGGTCACAGCAGGGCGAATTCCCCTTTGTGCTGTTCCAGCCACCGGTCCAGCGTTAGGAACTTGGGGTTGAGTCTCAGGGTCAGCTCGATGCCACAGTCGGGTCTCAGGGCATAGAAAGGGAACATGTTGGCCAGGTCCCGGGCCCCGGGGAAGCCAAGCTTTTCGGAGTCCTCAGGAGTCATCTCGGTGTCGTCCACGACCTCGCGGGTGTGCTTGGCGAGCAGGGCAGCGTGCTCCTCGGCCGTGAGTCTGCAAGTCCTCAGCCTGATGTTCGGGCCGACGTATTTTTCCGGTATCTTCAGCAGGCTGAGCACCACGGGACCCAGGTCGGACACGGACATGCCACCCATGGGAACGTGACCTACGGGCAAGCTCGGCAAGTAGCTCTTTCCTTCTGGGACTTTCTGGGGCAAGAAGTGGGAGAGGACGTTCTCGAACTAGCAGGGCAGCCGCACACTGGTCACGGGAACACCGATGTCCTGGAAATATTCCTGCAACTCCCCTTTGCAGTCAAAGCGCGCGGCGGTCAATCTCCCGGCCGTCACCTTCTTGGTGTTCTCCAGGCCACAGTCGACCACACAGCGGAGGCCCAAGCGCTTGGCCAGATCAGCCAGTAGCTTTCCCGCGCTGAGCAGAGCCCGAGTCTGCAGCTTCCACGGACCTGGAGAACGGGCCTCACGCTGCGCTTCCGGCCTCCCGCAAGGGCGTGTCCTCGGCAGGCCCCACCCCGTCCTCACGCTGCGCTTCCGGCCTCCCGCAAGGGCGTGTCCTCGGCAGGCCCCACCCCGTCCTCACGCTGCGCTTCCGGCCTCCCGCAAGGGCGTGTCCTCGGCAGGCCCCACCCCGTCCTCACGCTGCGCTTCCAGCCTCCCGCAAGGGCGTGTCCTCGGCAGGCCCCACCCCGTCCTCACGCTGCGCTTCCGGCCTCCCGCAAGGGCGTGTCCTCGGCAGGCCCCACCCCGTCCTCACGCTGCGCTTCCAGCCTCCCGCAAGGGCGTGTCCTCGGCAGGCCCCACCCCGTCCTCACGCTGCGCTTCCGGCCTCCCGCAAGGCCGTGTCCTCGGCAGGCCCCACCCCGTCCTCACGCTGCGCTTCCGGCCTCCCGCAAGGGCGTGTCCTTGGCAGGCCCCACCTCGTCCTCACGCTGCGCTTCCGGCCTCCCGCAAGGGCGTGTCCTCGGCAGGCCCCACCCCGCGCTGCGTGCTGACGTAGTGCTGGTCCCGCGCCCGCCCGCTGGGCTGCCGGGACAGCTGCGCCTGAGGGAGTCGCTGACCGGCACACTGACAGGCGGCTGGCGGACGGGCGACAGCGACCTGCGGCAGGTGAATGGTCTGAGCCCTCCGGGGCCTGCCTTCCGTTTGGTCCTCCGCGGGCCCCGCCTGGGTCCAGGCCTTTGGAGCTGGGCTCGGCCGGGCCACAGCCCTCTGCGTCTCCGAGGCATCCTTTTAGATGCTGACAGTCACTGGAAGGGTTAATTTGTGCCCAGCCAAGAAAAGAGCAGGATTTCCGATTTCCCATAAAGCAACTCGCCCCTTCACTGTGAGCTTTACGAAGTCACGTGGGCTCCTCGTGGCCGAGTGGGGAGTTCACAGCTTTATGTACAAGTAAGCTACAGACAGTGCCCAGAAAACGCGGCAGGCAGCGGTTTTGTCCTTAAAAACGGAAATCCTATGAAGAAACCAGCCACTCCGACGAGGTTACATCTTTTAGTGATAAATATAAAATATAAATTAATTTCTATAGCTATTTTGAGAATATCGATTAGGAACTCTTTTTCCCGTAAATTATTTTTTATTATAAAATGGCAACAGTGACATCCAGTGTTTAGTAAAATTAATGGCAGGTTATCCCTGAGGCCCCTGAAAGACCCTCATGCTTTGGAATAAAGACGCATATGCTTATTTTCACGTAAGAACTGTATTAGTCCGTGTTCACACTGCTGATATAGACACACCAGAGACTATACAATTTATGAAAGAAAAAGGTTTAATGCACTCAGTTTCATGTGGCCAGGAGGCCTCACAATCATGGTGGAAGGTAAAACGCACATCTCTCATGGCAGCAGACAAGAGGAGGAAAAACCAAATGAAAGGGGCTTTCCCCTAATAAACCCGTCAGGTGTCCGGAGGCTCATTTTCTACCAGGACAACAGCGTGGGGGAGACCGCCCCTTGATTCAGTGGTCTCCACCTGATCCCTCCCACAACATACGGGAATTACGGGGGCTACAATTCAAGATGAGACGTGGGTGGCGATACAGCCAAATCGTACCAAGAACATATACCTAGAAATACGACTTTCTACATTTGCTTTATGAGTTTGGAAACATGGTCAGCCTGTTCCTTGTGGTTAGGTATGCAGATTGCACTAGCTCAGTTGATGTTCATCCTAGAATATATCTAGAATACATATGTATCTAGAATATATATGATCTCAATAGCAGATCAGAGCTCTTGTTCTCACTACAGTTCTGTTAAGGAGATTCGCTAGAGTGTTCGTCTTCCCCATCTGCCTTACTGCTGAATCTGACTTCTGCGCGTGAAAAGCGGTTGAACCGCGGTAAGAGCGTTCGCTGTGGATTCCCGTGGGACTGGTTGAACTCGCTTCTTCGTTTCATTCTCTTCAGCTCCTCTTTGCACTTGAGGATCAAGTTGGATCATCCAGCGTCTGGAAAGTTATTCTGGGGTACAAGAGGACATGGTGCTTCATCCACATGTAGGTTGCTTGGGTCCGATTCCTCCTCCCTGCCCAGATTGATGACTTCTTTTCTGTTGAATCCCTGTCACCACTTTTCCAGATTATGGGGTAGAGTGGCCATAATTTTCTTCTGTTTCTATAATTTAACCTGGATTTCAGTAACATATATTTATTCTCTGACCAAATTATGCCATATCAAATTTCCAGTCTCTTGGTCTTTCTGTTTCTTCTTGGTGGAGTCTTTTGATAATGGCTATCTAGTCACTTCAAATCTTTCTGCTTTAGTTTCTGCTGGTATAAGCGAATCGTTACCAGCCTTTTCACAAGGCCGATAAAAGGTAGAAAGTGCATCCAAGTGAATTAGTCGTACAATGTTCAAGGAAAATGGATACCGAAGAAAGCATTCTTCGTTTACGTATTACCGAAAGTTTCTGGGTCATGTAAGAAATCAATGGGCTGGTTGAAAGCAGTTTTGAGAATGTATTTTCCTAAGAAATCCTGTAATTTCCAATCTAAATTATTCAGAAAAATTATTACCGCCCAACTAGTTTTGTGAGACCAGGATAATCTTAATACTAAAGCTGGGTTAAAAACTTATAGGAAAATTCACAAATATAAAAACAATAATTCTTTGGAAATCATTAACGAATTGAATAAAGCTGTAGAATGATAGTACCTCATGAGCGAACGGGTGTTAACCAAGAAATATAAACTTTATTTTGCATTCAAAGTTAATCCCTGTAATTCACATGTTAACAGAGTAAAGGAGTAAAAAAGATGATCTCAATATGTGTAGAAAAAGCTTTTGGCAGAATTTAACACCCATCGATGATGACATCTTAGCAACCAACTTCATCTAGAAAAGGGAATCTTAGGCGGAGCTTGGTGGCTTAGGCCTGTAATCCCAGCACTTGGACAAGGTGGGCAGATCGATCAGGAGTTGGGAGACCAGCCTGACCAAAATGGTGAAACCCCATTTCTACTAAAAATACAAAAAATTAACCAGGTGTGGTGGTGCATGCCTATAATCCCAGCTACTCAGGTGGCCGAGGCAGGAGAATCGCTTGAACCTGGGAGGCAGAGGTTGCAGTGATCTGAGATGTCACTGCACTCCAGCCTCAGCAACAGAGCAAGACTGCATCTTAAGGAAAAAAAAAGAAAAAGAAAAAGAAAAAAGGAAGGCAATCTTCATAGACCTGTTGCTAGCACTTTTCTTCACTGCAAACATTGAAAATAAAACAGGAGTACTTATTCTCACCACTTTCACTTATAATTGTACAGGAAGTTCTAGGCAATGCAATAAGCAATAAAAGTAAATAGAAACATAAACATAAAAAAAACTGTCATTATTTAAAGAAGACATCTTTGTTTATGTAGAAAACTCAAATCTGTTAAAAATAAACAACAAATAAACGAATCAAATGAGATCATGGAATATAGGTTCTACTGATAAAAATCAGTTATATTTCTATTTACTAGTCAACATTTTTTAAATGATTTTCTTAATAAACCTACCAATTTATATAGCATAAAATTTTGAACCTAGAAGTTATTTTAAATACATTCGTAGGACAAATAGAAGAAAATCTAAATGGATAGAAAGATAAAAATTAAATGGATAGAAAGATAAAAATCTAAATGGATAGATATATTCAGTTTGGAAGAATAAGTATTTAAGATATCAGTTCTTCTCAATTTGATAAACAGATTCAGAGCACTCTCAGGCATAATTCCCAAAGATCTAAGAACTTGATGAGTCTAGAATGTACATTTGGTTTTCATAGCTGGGAGAGGAGGCCATGCTGCAGGCAACTGGTGAGTTGGAGGCAGGCACACTGTGAAACATCTGAGAAGGCACAAGACAGCCCCTCTGTACAACAAAAAACTGCTAAAATGCCAATAGGGGCATGCTTTTCCCAAGGATTTCTTCTACTGCCCTTTACAATGGAAAGCTGTTACCTTTTAAAGGTTAATTTTTTAACATGTATTAACCTGAAGGTTGACTTCTAACATTTAACTCTGTAATCAGTATGCATAGAGAGCCGAGATCATGAGGAGATAAAAGACTATCACCAGCCGCCAGCCTCCCTCCCACCATGTGTAACCAAATATTCCAACACTACTTCTCAGGTGAATTATTTTGTCTCACTGAGTAGTGATGCCAGCACTTGGTAGATATTAAACTATAACATTGCAGGATATGTTTCAGAACTTCATCATTGTTTTTAAAATTAAAGTTACCTGTACCACTTTTTAGAAAGTTGTACCTTTTTCCATGTTTTAATATCCACTAGAGGATTGCTTACTTATTACGCTTTCCAATAGCCTCAAACACCATAAAAATTAGGGCTGTATTATTAATTTTTTAATCCTAGTTGTATCCCAGTAAATAGTTTGTAATTTATCTGGTATATTGTTTAAAAGAGTCTCTAAAATTTTCTTGACATTTAAAAATTTCATTTTTTCCAGATAAATTTTAAACTTTTATCACGTAATATCAAGAAGTAACACAAATGCAAGTGAGTTTTAGGAGTTCACTGACTGCATTAAAAAAAAAAAAATACTTGCACAGGATTTATGTGAAAATGACCAAACCTAAAAATGCTTTCAAACATTCATCCTAGGTACTTCAAACATTTTCCTTGTGAGAACTTATTCATTTGTTTAGGACATACTTCTCTTTTACAGATAATGCCAAGTTAATTCAGCTGCTTTCTAAGTGATTATTATTGGACTACAAATAAATGCTGTAATTGAATTTGAGGAGGAACTATAATTAAAATATTTCTTTCTAGTTTTATTGATAAAGTCATTTAATTGGATGTCTTTTGTTTTGCTTTTGAAGCTCACTAACTTGTCAAATCGTATGTGTAGAGTAGTCTGTGCAGAAATTCTCAAAGGCTAATAATTAGTTGGCAAAATACTCCTCAAAAGAGAATTTGCATGCAAATGGAATAGACTGCTCCCAAAACTCATTATAAAATATGGATATATCTTTTAACTTTTATAGTTAATTATGAGCATATCCAGGATCGCCCCCTTGTATTACAAACCTATCAAGAACTGGGCTGTCAATCTATTGGTGCTGTTCCGAGATTCGCCACCAGGTGTCGCTGTTTAATGGAGAATTTTGCTCCAGGCTTCACAGGTGCTTAATAGGCTGACAGCTCTGGAGATGGGGTGGTCCCTTTCTTCTTGGTAGGCTAGGCCGAAGGCAAACCCCGTTTGGGATCCCAGATCCACAGATTAGCTCTTACATTTCCTAGAACAGCAGCACGGAGCCACGACTGAGCCTAGCTCTGTCCAGTTAGCAGCTCCCCATTAAGTATTATTCCTGGGACAGGCATCAGTGCCCAAGAGGCAGGGACCTTTTTTCTACGAAACTCTCAGCACACTAATAGTCTGTCTCCGTCCTTCTGCAGAAATATTCAGGATCACACCTAGCTTCCCAAGGACGTCTCCAAAATGATTGATGTGCCCAAAGAGAGTCACTCTCAGTGACCCTAAAAGCCCAACTCTTAGCCTTCAATTAGAAATTTAATGACTCATGCTGAATGTCCACCTCGTCCCATACCTAAGACCATCTGCCAGATACTCCTGCTCATAAATGGGGAAACTCAGCAGGGGCCTTCCTCCTGTGAGGTGCACGTTCCAACCTCTGCATGTCCCACACCATCCATATTCTATGAAAATGGAACAAGGGCATTTGCAGCAATATAGAATTCTGCACCTAGGAGTGTTAAAGATATCCCTTTGGAGGTGTTAATATGAAGGAAGGAGACATAATGTGACCACCCCAAGTTGTGAGAATTAACAGGGATG